TCTGTACGGAACCTACAGCCACGGCAAAGCAAAAGGACAAACCTCCGCAAGGCAAATCTGAGCGCCTGACTGCCTGAATTGTTTGACCGACTGTCTGTCTGGCCATCTGACTGTTTGACTGTCTGGTTTTTTGCTTGTGCAGATGATGCCCGCGCTGTCGAATGTTAATAAGAGTAGTAGTGAGCCGTACGCAAAAGCAAATAACAACCGCAATAGTATTAGTAGTGGTAGCAGTCGTATTGGTCGCATCGAAAGTCGCAGGCTCCAGTGACGTCGACGTCGTCAGCAACCGTGAAGAAGACGGAGGCCCAGCGCCAATCAATGCCAGTCACATGTTCCTAGACTGCTCATCTGATTTTGCGCGTACAGGACGGCAAGTGGAAAGTCGATACCGGGTGCCGACATTTTGTATGTTTAGCTCTGTTTCTGTTACAGGTGCAGCTACTTTCTCGCATGACACAGCTGAGCCTCTGCCAGGTACATTGATCACAGGACTAAGGACCCTAATCGCCTAGAGGCATGCGCGCAATTCGTTTCTGTTCCGCTCTGAAGCGTGCCTGACACTGCCTGACACGGTCCACTATGTGCCAGCGCCTGCGCAGAGCCGACGCTCCGTCTTGGACACCGAGCTCCCGGTGTCAGGGGTTACTAGCCGCAGGGAGCTTGGAGACAAGCTTGGAACTGGAACGAGTGTGAGACAAGAATGCACAGACCGCCCAAACTGTGCATAACTGTGCTGCGTTCTGCAGAGTCGGTGTTGGAAATGTGCCAGCAGGAAGTGAGCGTGACGAAGAGGGCAAGTTCAAAGTTGACACTTCGTGCCCCAGAGCACGGAGCAGAGAGCCATCCGACAGAACTCGTTCACCGATCGCCCAAGTCTTCTCTCACTTCACGACATATCATGACATTCTGGTAGGTACATCAACCATCGGACCGGTCCGGGGCCGCAGCCGGAACCGGAAGCGCTGTTGGGATTGTTGGGATTGTTGGGCCATGTTGGGCCACTGCAGTGTAGAGACCATGACTGACCTCAGGAGGTATGATCAGGAGTCGGATGTAAAGCCCCCACCCCTGGGCCTTGGTTTCTCCATTCAATACATATAAACGTATAGTAGTTTTCATGTTTCTTCATCTCATGTCGGTGCATTCAAGATTGATCCCGAAAGTGTTTTCACTTCGTAGTGTACAGTGACGTGCCTGCTGTTGGACTTGTTAGCTTCCAGCGGTCATCAGCGTCAGAAGTTGTCCGCTGTGGGTTCACTGTGCGCCAAGGCGAGGTGGACCGCCTGGAAGGTCGACGCTCGGTCCTGGGGTGCCCCGGCACCGAGAATTTCGAGTGGCCTATGCCACGTATGCCAAGAAGCCCTGCAGAATATCCGGTCCTGCTCCTCCCTCTCGGAAGCTTTCCCTGTCACTTTCGTCTCCTTTCATGCGAGCTTTCCTGAGGGGGCCAGAGCGGGTGGCTCCGTCCGCCTCTGTGCGGAAGGTGCCGATGCAGTGTGCTCACCATCACATTCCGAAATGTCACGGTCATAGTCTTATACAAGTCTTCTTTCTCTTCATTCTCTTCCAGACCCCCAGTTTCGCTTGATCCTTTGGAGGATGGCGGCGCCTGGAAGGTGGACACATCGTGCACCTGCCGAGTAGCACACGGTAGCACACAGTACCACTCAGTAGAGCCCAGAATTCTCTTTGGCTCCCTACGGTTCTCCGCGCTGCTCTCCGAAGTACTCATTTTGACTCATTATTGGCCGATGGTTAACCCGCATGAACCCGTGTTGTCTTTCAGCGCCTCTGCAAAGGTACATCGGCTACCGCACGGGTGACACTGGGAACCTGACCAGAAAGGAGGTGTCATGCCACCTTCTCTACTGGTATGCTAGTGACGTGCATGTCCGTGTGTGCTTCTGCGTTGTGTCTGTCCGTCGTCTGTGCGCGTTGTCTGTATGCGTGCCTATTTATTGTTTCATCCTGTCTGCTCCGTGTGTTTGTGTGCCCGTGTGTGTCCGTGTGTGTCCAGGTCCAGCTCTGTTGCAAAAGAAGGAGATGGGAGATGAAGTCGAGTTCGCCTTGAAAGCAAGGGTGAGGATGCTAGAGTTGCCAAGGTTTGCATAATTACTGAAGTTCACATGCCCTCAATGTAACAGCTGGCTCTGTGTGATCTAAAAGGTCCAGAAAAACAATGGTTGCTGCTTAGACTTTCACGGGTCAGCAGCAGGGCCTGGCGCATTGCCGGGTCTCAGGCATCCGGCGAGCTTCGCAAAGTTGCCCGCAAGACCCTTCAATAGCGGGCCACAGAAGAGGGCCAGTCGTCGGCCTCGAAAACATTCGAAAACCCTGGGAATGAAAAGTCAATGATCAGGATCAGTTTCAACATGGAACGAAGCCGCCGGAAGACGTGAGAAGCAACTTGGTTCTAGAAACTTCGAAGCGCCCACAAAGCTGGAATCTGGAAGGGCAAGTTTGCATATCTAGAAAATCCGAATGAACATTTGTTGAATCTGCAAAGTGAACTCATGCACAGGATCGCGTTGAGCAAGCTCTGGGATGCGTGCATATTTGGTCACAGTGTTCTCGGCTTCCCGAACTTTCAGTTTCACGGTCGTGTCTCGGAAACAGAATCCGTGCAGCAACGTTTGAGAACGAAGTTTGCAACTTGCTGATTGTTTGTTTTGGCAATACAAACGCAAAACAACATAGGCGAAACTGATGCACCTTTGTCTGTCTCTGTCTCTCTTTCACACTCATTCTCTCACATGATCTTCTGGAGGCTTCCGAGCCTGATGCGGCCTATGCGGACCCGGCAGATAAAAAGTACAGCCACGAGGCAATGGATGCTCGGGCCCAAACTCCCCACAATGCATGACACGATATGCGCCATCCCTTTCTCCCGCAGTCTCTCTCCGTATCTATCTCTCTCCCTCTCTCTTTCCCTCTCAGTTTCTTTCTCTTCAAGTCTTCTGCTTTGTTTTTTTTCTTTCAGGAGCTGAAGGTCGCAAACGGCCGGCCGCAGGATGTGGACCCGGCCAGGAAGCTCCGATGTGCATTGTCTGCATGCTCTGCATGCCGTACCGTCCACAGCCACTGAGCCACTCTGAGCCCTGCTCCAGCGACTGTTTTGCACAGCGCCGAATGGCAGGTCTAGCTGCGTTTGGCTTGCCGTAGTTTCCTTGTGCTCTGAAAATGGTGTTGACGCCAACCTCCTGCGCTGTGGGCAACCTTCCGTGACGCCACCCTTTGCCAACAGTGCAGAGAAAAGGAGACAGCCGCCCTACAAATGTCAAGAACTGGTCACAACGGTTTCAAAAATCGGTAAACAGCCTGAGCTTTGGTGAAGCCCTTGCAAGTTGGAGAAGTAGCAAGGATGCGCGGCGTCAAAGAAGTCGGTAGCGGGGCTTACTTCAACGCTTACCTCGTCGGTGTTTAGAAGGCAAGTGCGGCAAGTGAGGCAATCAAGGCATGACCATATGGCGCACGCTGGCGCGCGCGACCCGACTTATGACCGTCGCGACGTTGAGTCGCATATAGTCGCATCGACAGGAGGGAGCTCTACTTGTCGGAGGAGGACTTCCAGGCAGGCGGTCTTAGCATCTTCCCATGCATCCCACACTTGACCGTTGCTCGTCACATTGTGCTGCCCTTTTCAGCTACTGTGCCCGGAAAAAGTTAGGCACAGGGAGTTCAAGCCTTAAACTTTATGTCCCGGTTCTCAGAAAACATGTTCTTAGTGTTTTCGTTGCTCGCTACTGTGTATGTGCTGTGTAATTGGAGCTCACTCTGGCCTGTCGTTATTGTCGGTCAGTGTCCCTGTGGCTACCTTCTCTGACTTGTGTGTGATCTGGTTGTTTCAGTGTTTATCTCTGACTTGTGTGTGATCTGGTTGTTTCAGTGTTTACAGTTGCAACACCACATGACTGCATGAATGCGGGACTGCAAGTTCGTGCGCTGATTGCGCATGGGACCGAAACGGGGTCAAATCCATTCTCCTTGATATGGCACTTGCCGAGGCGTATGCCATTTTGTAATCATGAGTTTCCGTTCGTGGGTACACCCTGAATTCAGTTCACTCCTGATTGTCACCGTCGTCAGTTTTGTGCTTGCTCCCTGTGCTTGGTGCTATCTTTCTCATGCCCACTGGCCATACACTTTGTTGTTGCGGGAAGTTCTGACCACCTCAATGGTTGCTGCAAGCGGGGCTACATCGCTTGTAGCAGGGCCATCAGCATCGGCAACAGCACGCAGACCGTGAGGCAGTGTTCGGCATGGCCTCGGCGGACTTCCTGAAGCAGCCAAAGTGGAAACAGCAAAATGCGAAGAAGGCGTGCTCTGAGCCGGATGGCTTGTTTCCAAGCCTGTGACGTGTGCTTTCATCTCAACGCGTGCTCTTCAGGCTAAAGACCTGTTCTGAGCAGCAGACTTGTGGGAGCTCACACCGTCACCTAATCCTAGAGCCTGTAGGCGGGTGGGGGGTGCACGACAGCCTTGACGCCCAACCAGCGAGCTTGAAATCTCACTCCCCCCCGGAGAAAAGAGAGCAAAAGTTGTAGAACATCTTTGAGCTTCGCTGCTGCAGAGCTGCAGACAGAAAGCCCGACGACCGCACTGGTTTTTGTTTTTGTATTGCTTTCTCTTTCAGTCGTTTTCTTTCCTGCCCCTTCGTCAGAGTGTGGTGCAGCGGAGCTGTGCAAATTCCACCTTGTTTGGGTCAGAGGTCTCATGGAAGTTTGGCTTGAAGAAGCAGAGATGATGCTGCAGACATGTGCGGGCACATGCAGACACCGGGTTAGCCCTTCTCCAGTTTTCTGAAGCTGAGACGGCACAGTGATGTAGCAGACTTGAGGAGAGTACTGTCAGAGCACAGTAATAGGTTGGTTAGGCTAGAGTCCTAGAGTAGACCAGAGCAAGCCACGTGTGCTAGACCCCTTGCAACTCACAACTTTCTGACCGTACAACACGGTTCATGCAAACAAAATAGAAGCACCATCGCTTCTGCAAGCGCAATGCTCGCCGTCGACATTGCAGGCCTCAGCTGGGCTTGACGGGCTTGAGTCCTGATTTGATAAGTATGAATGGCCCAGTCATGCCCAGTCTGATGCTTGTCAGTGCTGAGATCTGCTTTCGCGGAGGCGTGACGGGAGTCATGCTTTTGCAGCACGCGTTGCTGTCCGGAGGCTCAGCTCGTTCTTTCAGAGGGACTGACAGACTCTAACAGACTATAAAAAGTGTCCGAGCCTTTGACTTGTGCGCTGCTACACTGAACTCGAACCTGTTTCCTTAGGCGGCAGCTGATTGCACTCTGGCCCCAGGTGCAGCACTACAGCGCATGGGGGTCCACAGTCCTCCCGAAATTTGAAGAATCATAATCGCCTCCCCAACCCTCCATGGGGCTTGCAGGGCAGCATGAATTCAAGCAGATTCTGCAAGCAAATCGTAGGCTGCATGGGGAGTTTCCATTAATTTTGTTGGGTTTTGTAAATCGGGGGGGGGGGAATTATGTCACCCGCAAATGATGGAATCCTTGTTGCCTTCAACTCTTGAAACCAGGATCCCCAGTTTGCTTGCGGATCGCATGCAGAGCACCTGAGGGGAAGTGGAAAAATTGTTCGTTGAGCGGTTTTATGATTTTGGGTGCAGAGCGCAGTCTGCAGAGTCCCCCGGGCACACCTCGTAAAGAGGGTCAGGAGCACATGAAAAGCTGCAAGAGGTTCAGAGCATCGAACCCTCAGTATTACTAAACCAAGCCCCCCTGGCTCACGCCACGAAAACCTGCCATCCTTTGCAGTTCCGCAGCAAGACTTTGTACCAAGTCGCATTTTGCTCAGAGCAATGTGCCGAAAGAGCCGAAGAAGCCGACAAAAAGCACTGCCAACGTTGAGAGGCAGTGCAGAAGTAGTGCGGAACAGCAGGGCTTTGGTCTTCCGGGTGAGGGTGGGGGCGAAGAATGCTCTTCAACTCTAAGGTGCTGAATCAGATCTTCGGATCAGATAGATGTAGCCGAGCGTCCATCATCTTGTCGTACTTCGCCGTTTCGCTGTTCAGGCGAGGGACTTGGACGTCAAGGAGCGTCAGCAGGCATGGACACTCTTCACAGTTGTTTCAACTTTTTTGCCAGACTTGAGCCGACACTCAGATGGAAACTCTCTGATCCATCCATTTTCTCTGCTTGTACAAGACTACGTCGGCTTTGCTCTGAGATGGCGAACCGCCTGATGCTCATCGTGGCTCCGCCCAGCATGGTGGCTCTCAGCATCGTCTTCTTGCCGCTTGACGCATTGTTCTAGCTCTTGTCCCCGGTGCATCCTTGCATGTTCAGGTGTAGCGAGGGCTTCAATGCCTGGTGCCGAGAATCTCCGGAATCCTTCCTTGTCCTGCCCTCTTGCTAAGAAGTTCAAGCTGTACTGTGAGGACCCAGAAGCTCGCTGGGCCAATGTAGCTTCAGGGCACGGTGCACAGGGAGATCCAATGTGCAGAGACCAGCGAGGGAACTCTTTCATTGTTTTCGCTTTTCCGCCGTTCCGAGGCCTGCAAGTGCAGGCGACGGGCGGGGTGTGGGGGGGGGGGAGCTGGGGGGGGCGGTGAGGGGTCGGAGTGTAATTCAGCACTGCCAAGTGAACATTGTGGCATCCTTTGCTAGTTGTTGTCACCGTTGTCGCCTACTACTTTCTTGTCGGAGCCATACAGAATCCATTCCAGTCGGGTCTGCATAAGATACCAGCCTAGCACGTGCTAGCAAACAGCACATGTCACCCACTTCTTCTTGTTGCACGTGTGCGGCATTCAAATTACCGGCTGGAATTAATCTTTAATATCGGCTTGTTTAAGTCGACAATTTTGAATTCCGTTTGCAATGCTTGTCTTGTGTTTCTTTCCATCAGCTCGAAACAAGTTTCAATTTCAAGCGGCAACAGCAACCGGCGGCTTAACTTCGACATTCAACGGACCTCTTTAAAGTCGTCATCCGCATGTGCCTGCTTGGAAGTGAGGTTAAGCAATTTGTTCGGCAGCTTCTGAGCGGATGGCTTGACGAATCGATTTTCAGGCATATGCGGGCAGAATACTACTTGCAATCGAAATCAGTTTCAGGCCGTGGCTGAAAGCTCCGCAAGGACAAGGAATGATTTCGGGTTGACATGATGAATGGATTTAGTTCCAATTTGCAATAGCTTTCCAGCCACACCGTACTAACTAGTACCAGGTCATAAGCAGGCTTCTATAGGCTTCTGCACGCACCATGCACGTGTACATACGTGTACTGTACCGGTTCGTATGCAGGACCTTCCACGAGGCCCTGTGCTGCCCTGTGCTGCCCTGTGCCGTGATGTGCTTCGGCAGGTGAGTGGGCCGGACGCGTCTTCGTGGCCTTCAACCTTTACGAGTGATGGGCCTAAAGCATGGTCTCAATGTTCATGTAGTCCTGGGAGTGCACCATTCCACCATGGTGCTCCCAACAAGACCCTGCGCACAGCTCGAGTAATGTTTTGAAAAGCATCCAGGCTGGTCTTCTATGCTGTGTATGGCAAGGAGATGGCATTCTGGCTACTGCCCTGGTGTTCTCTCCTGCGCCCTCACGTGACAGGATTCGCTGATTCCCTGAGCCCGTCAACTAAACTAATGTGGGTAAATGTGTTTGGCCCCGATTGACCCCATGTTCGTTGTCTTGCAAGTTTCGCTAGTGGATGTTTGAGAAATGGCAGGTTTGTCTTTGCAAGGCCGACATGTGGAGCCCGGTGACATATGTGACACAGCCGGGTTCCCTCCGCGAATTGTAGTTGCAGCAATTCGCGTCGACACAGGTTGAATGTCAACCTACAATATTTTGCGTCGCAACAGTAATGCCTGCAGCCTCGTCAGAATCTTGAGGTCCTGAGCCCTGCAACAATCCGTTGAATCCTCCGGAAAAGGCATCGAATCACGAAGGACAATCAATGACCCGCAACAGCCATGAGGCTGCACCACGTGATCACACTTGTGATCTCTCTGAACTGGCTGGCAGGGGCCTCAGAATGAGCCTTACCTCGTCTTATCATTCTTAATTTTTCGCAACATAGACGAATCTAGCACATTGACGTTACCTTTGACACACCTCTGCAACAGGTGCTGCGAACGGCCACTTTTTGGGGCTCTGCTGCAAGAGCCCGAGACTGCGAGAAAGCAAGAAAGAAAGCATGGCCTTCAGTGAAGGCATGGAAGGGCACGGGACTGGGCCGAGTGAACCTCAGCTCTCTGAGATCTGAGGTGATACTCATGGAGGCAACCACACCATGCCTCGTCGCCACGCGAATGATGAAGGCAAGGCATCCCTATCTGGGCAACTCGGAAAGAGGTTGTCGTAGGTTGTCAAGGATTGTCGTCTTTGAGCTTGTTGCCAGGAAGCCGGCTGGACGTGTGAGCCGCTCGTCAACACATGACTACGTGAGACTGAGCTTCCGCCGAGTCAGAGCAAGAGCGAGCGAGAGCGAGCGAGAGCGGGGGGAAGTAGGCCACCAACAGCCAGGCATGTCCTGTCTGCGAGAGTCGGGTTAGCAGGGCGCAGCCCGTTGTTGTTGCTGAGACCAAGGTTTCACACAAGCGGGGCAGTCTAGCTGAGACACAAGATCGGGGCAAGATAGCAGGGAATAAAGTAGTAAACGCAAGATCGGGGCGAGATGGCAGGGAATAAACTGGCAAGCGTAGTGGCGTAAGAGGGGGAAGAGAGCGAGAGGACGGGGGCTTGGCGCGGGGTTCGCCCCAAGCCCCAAAGAAAGAAAGACAAGCGAGAGAGAGAGAGAGAGAGAGAGAAGGAGAGCGAGCGAGCGAGAGAGAAAGAGAGAGTGAAACACGGGGTGCCCAACTTGCGCATAGGGGCCCTGTCCTCCCAAGCCCCCAAGCCCCGACTGAAGAGTTTCTCTAGTTATCGGCCTGTCATCTTGTGTCACTCGCTTGCATTTTCACGATTGACCTTGGCATTTGGAACTCTGAAAGCGCAATTCTGCACAAGTGTTTCTCTGACCTTGTGTTTTCCGTCTGAGCTGAAAACCGACCTTCCCCGTCTGAATGTTGACCCTGCCTTTCGTCTGAGTTTGATGTGATTTGAATTCCAACATTGCAACGTGGGTGAAAACGGTGCCCACTAAACTGCTCCGCTCTGTTGCCGCGTACTCCGCTCCTGCAGGGCTTAAGGCTTCGGGTTTAGGGCTGAGGGTTTAGGGTTATACACCTCCTCAAGACCAGTCATATCAGCTCAAAACCCATCATGGCGAGATCAATTGTGATCATCACATGTTGTTTGCCATCACGGGCCCGCCTCCGGCAACACCCAAACCCTGCATAAAATTCTTTTCGCATTTCCACCTTCCCTCCCCTCGCAGCAGTTCCCCAGAACGTCGCTGCACCCAGGCCACTGTACAAGCTGGCGGCACGGATGCTCAGAGGGCAAAGTTGCGAGCAGACAGTGACAAGTGCGGCCAATTCAAAGTAAGTTGCGTGACAAGTGAACGCATGCCAACCAATCCGTATCGAATCATCAGCATTCATTTCTCTATCATCATGCATCTACGTGTGTCGTTTACGTAGAGTCTTCCTGAGTTGGTTGGTGGGGGCTTGGACGACACGGCCCGAACTGGGCCAAGCAATTGGAACATATTGGAACATAAACCTTTAGGGTTCAGCTTTGTGCATGAGTCTTCCGGGCTTGTGCTTGGGGTTGTAGTTGTCGGTTTTTGGTGGAGAGCCAAAGGTCATGAAGAAACGGCATGTTTCTGAGTTTGAGTTTTGAGTTTGCTGAGGTCAGTGGCTTTTGGGTGTGTTGGATAGCCACTGGGCTTGTACCAGAAGAAGAGAGACTTGCATGGAGATTGCAAGGACATCGCATGGAGTGCAGGGAAACTGAGGGCTAAGACCGCGGCGTGAGATGGGATCCTGCTGAGGCCGTGCGCATCTGCTTTGTGTCACTCTCTTAGCGCCCTCTTTTTTTCGGTTCCTTTCGGAGATGGTCCCGCAAAACGTGCGGTGCCTTAGGCTT